TTAATTTCACACCCCTCTCAGCTACATCATTTGTTACTTTTACTGACTTAACAAACTTCTTTGCATTTCTGTAGCTGTCATTGTCTTCCAAGTGTCAGCAGGAGTAGTGAGCCCGTCACATTTCACCCCAAGAGCATCAAACAAAAAGTGAGACTCTGGCCCTACCAGGTCTGTTAGAACGGTAGTTGCATTGATGACAGGGAACACTGGCTTGCCTCTTCTGTAGCTATCAGGTTTCTTTGTTTCTGACAGCTTGACTGCGACCTTCTCCCTTGCAGATTTGGTCATGCTGTCATGTGAGCTGAACAGGGTAAATGTCACAAGTTCCTAAGTCAGATGCCAACGGTGGTTGTTCAGTTTCTTCAGAACAGAGGTCGCATATTCATAATCATGCTGCTTGTATTGCAGCATGTCCTTCATAAGCTGGAGGTCATGAATAGGTGCATTAGCAGCAGATGTGGTGGTCACCCAATGGTTGGTGTAGAATAAGGCCAGGAACTTGTTCATCCTCTCAAGCTTGGAGATAATGTCCTTGTTGTATTTAAGTTCCTTGGAAAACATAAGCATCTTCATACAGTAAATGTTCCTGGCCATCCAGCGAGCCTGGTGAATGGTACCTGGTTTGGTCCAGTGGATACCTCGAGGAGGTTCTTCACCAAATAGGATCAGACATAGCTCTGCCACCTCTCTGTAGTCTGCTCTTGGACTTGCTTTCTCAAGGAAATTCCTTACAGCTGAAGGAGTTTACTCTAATTCATCAACCAAAAAGATCAACAGAAGCAAAAATCCAAAACATAAATCCACAAAAATGAGAACTAGGAATACTTGACGACAATGACGACAAACCAGCAAAGAGTGACTCAACAGGAGGAGAATATATGGGAGAGAGAAACCAGAAAGAACAGGCTAATTAGTAGATTGGGAGCAGGTGTGAACAGAGGCAAGAAGGGAGCTAAGGAAAAGGAAACTGACACAAGAGGGCAAACAAGAAATATCTAAGAACTCAAATACAATCAAAAATAACTAGAACACAAAAATGGAAATAAGACCAATGAAAATTCAGAGAAAAAACTTGAACAGAACCATGACGGCAGCAGCTGCTGGAGTTGAAAAAATTGAACTTTTGCTGCACAACGCGCCGCATCATCCAATCACAGAAGCTGATCTGGAAGCTGGCAGGGTGACAGACATAGCACTGCTGATGCAGACTGTATGATCGATCCTCTGAAACTTTTTATTAACGCCTTAATTAACTTAAAATGTAGAAACCTGCTGGCCAAATATGTTTGATTTTATTATTTTTGGTGCCTGCAGTTAGTATTATAGTGGCAACCTGGCCAGAGGCTGCGTTGAACGGGATTTCCAGGGACAACGACTCAGATCGCCGTTGTACGGGGGTCTGAGAGGCTCCGACAGCAAAATAGTATTCAAAGGCTGGATCGTAATCTCGATAAACTGATTGCACAGATTAAGTTTTCAGATGGACTTTGTCACTAAAAAACATATTAAAGCTACTTTTTACCCACTGATAACAACAAATATAGTAAAGCCGCTCTCTGCCATTGAACACAGGAGAAGCAGAAGCATCAGACGCATCTGGACACGCTTTACTGGACGTCTGACCTTAATGTGTACAAGCATCATTCCAGCTCTTGCTGTCTGAACGTTGCATTATTTATTAAAATAAGCCAAGCCACTCTCGATTCCATCCACCATTGTTTCGGGCAAATAAAGGATAGGGTAGTTCCGCCCAGCACTCATCAGACCCACTTTTCTACTGCGCACCTAGAGCAGCCAAGATGCTTCAGCCGCGCATCAGAACTAAACTTGTACAAGCATCAAAAAATCCAGCAGCACGTCTTTTTGCTGCCTCTGCTGCGTGCGATCTGAACGTAGCATAGCGCTTTATTCTGCTTTCCCCGCCTCCTTTTTCAAACTTTTTAGAAAAAGTGCTTTAAGTTTTTTAGTATAGTGTAAAAAAAAAAAAGAACATTTAAAAAAAAAAGTTGTAATCCAGTGGAATATGCTTCCTTTACATATAAAAATCTGGGATACACATGAAAAATAATATTATATAGTACTTTTTCTAGATGTTTGTTAATTTGCAGAGTTGCTCGTAAAATAAACGTATTCTCAGAAAATAGTATATTAAAAAAATATAAAGCTGACTAATTGCTTTACCTGCTATTTTATTTGTTCAGGTCGGTAAAACTATACTGGACCATGCAAAACACAGATTTGCCTTCACAAAGCATCAGAAGGGCAAGATTTGAATACAAAAAATAAACCTGTACATTAAATTATGTTTTGTTTTTATAAAGTGTTTTTATAATGTTTTTTCGTTGTTGGCAATATATAAATATACTGGTGTGATAACTTAGTATACGTTTGATTTGTTTTTGGTATACATCTATTTTGAATATATAGCCCCTCTGGAGAAAACTCCACCAGCCGCCACTGATAACCACTGCAACCATTGTCAGACAAACCAAGCCAAATCATCCCACATTTGAGTTTGGTGTGAATGCAACTTCAGACCAGCCCACTAAGTTCAATAAGTCAAGTTGACAATTAATAAATAAACAGTCACACAATCCACTGGTTTACTTTTTATGTATTTGTCACTGCACAAGAAACCATTCTTTGATAGTCTTTGGACAAAATCATGTTGTTTAACATAAAAAACAAACAGCACACACTGAGAAAGGGTGCCCTTCGAAATAAAACCTAAATCACTGCAAAGCAGTTCTGGGAAGAGCATAAAGCTTATTTTACAGTCCGAGTAAGCAAATCAAATTCTCAGGATAATAATTTATTTTTATTGTATTATAAATCAAATAAATAAATGGCCCATTTGTTTGTTTTATTAAAATTCACATTTATTCATTTAATAATAATAATAATAATAATAATAATAATATTGGTTAATAAACAACCATGTCGAAAGACATATCCCGTGGTCCTGGAAAAGATGTTAGTCTGTTTGAGAAGGGTCAAATCATTGGCATGCATCAAGCAGACAAAACATCTAAAGAGATTGCAGAAACTACTAAAATTGGGTTAAGAACTGTCCAACGCATTATTAAAAACTGGAAGGATAGTGGGGACCCATCATCTTCAAGGAAGAAATGTGGCCGGAAAAAATCCTGAATGATCGTGATTGGCGATCACTTAAACGTGTGGTGAGATCAAATCGAAGAAAAACAAGAGTAGAACTCAGGGCTATGTTTAATACTGAAAGTAAGAGCATTTCCACACGCACAACGCAAAGGGAACTCAAGGGATTGGGACTGAACAGCTGTGCAGCCGTAAGAAAACCACTAATCAGTGAGGCTAACCGGAAAAAAAAGCTTCAATTTGCTAGGGAGCATTAAGATTGGACTGTGGAGCAATGGAAGAAGGTCATGTGGACTGATGAGTCCAGATTTACCCTGTTCCAGAGTGATGGGCGATTCAGGGTAAGAAGAGAGGCAGGTGAAGTGATGCTCCCACCATGCCTCGTGCCTACTGTACAAGCCTGTGGGGGTGGTGCAGTTGGTCAGGTCTAGGTTCAGCAACAGTATGTGCTCAAAGAATGAGGTTGTTAGGTTTTATTATTTATACATCATGTGCACTGTTATTTTGTTAGTCAGATTAGACAGAGCAGAAGGCCTTCCTTCACATTGTGTATATCACGGTGTGTACGGAGGTCATCTAATCAAGACAGCCTTCGTGTCTTTAAGAGTACACAGGATATGGGCACATCTTGGAGCCGGTCTGATAGGAGAGCTGCTGTATCTGTAACCCTGAGACAGAGAGGCAACCTGCATGGAGTTCAAGACATGGATGGCGTGTCAGTTTCTGATACGGACAGCTAAGCATCCACATGATGCAACACAGACTCAGAAGGTATAAGAAGCAGGTGATGACGTTGTTCGGGGCTCAAACTTTGCCGGACGCTTGCGGACGTGATTTTTGAGACCACAGCTGTGCATAGCTCGAAGCATTTTTCTCTGTCCTGTAACGACCTGATCTGGAATAAACTCTGTTACTTTTTTACTCCTGTTTTTATAGTCCTTTTTTATATGGTTTTACCGAGTTTGAGTTAAGAGTAGTAAATAACTTGCTCCCAGGAAAAGAACCGATGAGGAGGCCCCCGGGGCGCTACAGCCTTTACTTCCAAGGGGACAAATCCTCCTCACTTTAACAAGGTCAAGTGACTACCTAAATATACCGAATGACCAGGTTATTCCATCAATGGACTTTTTCTTCCCTGATGGCACAGGCATATTCCAAGATGACAATGCCAGGATTTTTCTCAGTATCCTGAGATTAAAGTCAGATTTATAAGATTAAAGTCAGAATTCTGAGATTAAAGGCAGAATTCTGAGATTAAAGTCAGAATGCTGAAAAAAAAAGCCAGAATTCTGAGATTAAATTAAGAATTCTGAAATTAAAGTCAGAATTCTGAGAAAAGTCAGAATTCTGAGATTAAATTAAGAATTCTGAAATTAAAGTCAGAATTCTGAGAAAAGCCTGAATTCTGAGATTAAAGTGAGAGTTCTAAGATTAAATTCAGAATTCTGAGAAAAAAGTCAGAATTCTGAGATTGAAGCTTTAATTCTGAGATTAAAGTCCCAATTCTGAGGGGGGAAAATTTCAGAATTCTGATATTAAAGCCAGAATTCTAACATTTTCCCATATTAAACTGAAATAATACACTTTTTTCCCCCAGTGGCCCCAATCCTCTTCTCTTCTGTATGACAACGTTCTGAGTGAAACTAAACTAAATTGGTCTTAATTGGACCGCATTTTCTGCGGATTAAAACTATTTTAAGTAGATTATTGTCTCTTATTCTAAGCTGAAGTAATGAGTGCTGTTAAAAAAAAGGGTTTGTTCAGTTTGTTATCAACACACTAGTGAATGTGATTAAAAGGATCATGTTTCGTTTTCCAGATCCAATCATTAGCTGCCGAGGCTCGATCTGTATGGTTTGGATCCTCCCACCCGCTCCTCCGAGTCGCGCCCTGTCTGTCTGTCGACCCTCATTCATAAGTAAATGTGTTCTTTCCATGGAATACAAAAAGATGCGAGAGAGGGAAAGGAGAACTTCCGGGGAGTCAAGGGAAGAGATCCAAAGAAGAGTGCGACCTTGTGAGTTGATCTACGGTAAATTTGCAAAACCTGGTTTCATTTTGAGATTACAGGTGACAATGCTGTTTATGCAATTAATCCGGTTGGAAACAAACAGTGATTGATTGGTTCTATGAGAGGCATTGTCTCGCGATACTACGGATTAATACTTTACTCAGGTGTGAAGACTTTTCAATTAATGTTTTGCGCCATGAAAAGCTCGTTTACTTTATTTGATTATGTTAGTTTATGATCCGCTTGATGCCAATGTAAACAAAACCATAAAAAGCTTTAACGTTTAGCAATGAATTATAGAAAATTTGGTGACAGATTTTAAGGGACAAATTAGTAAAAGTCTTTCATTAATGAAGCAATGACACTATATAGTCATTAACTCGGAGAAGAATCGAAAATAATTAAAAATTACCATAAAATTGTCTTTCAATTTTTCTCATGTCTACATAGAAGTAAAAATAAAAACAAAATGAGCACTATTTAATTACTCTTAATTGGGTACAAATTGCATAGTTGTGAAAGTGCTGGGTTTTAGGCTTTTAAGGTAAATATTTATATTTATTTTTGGAAAATGTGATGAGGTGATGAAAGTTTTATTTTTTTGGTTTTCCTGGTAATGAGAAAAAGAAGAAGGAAATCTTTTTTGAAAGTTTCAAGCATAAAATTCTGAGGTTGGATGTAACTAATTACATTTCCTCAGTTTCTCGGTCAATTCACTGCACCTTACTTTTTACTTAAGTAAAAGCAGAGGTGTCAAGTAACGAAATACAAATACTTTGTTATTGTACTTAAGTACACTTTTTAGGTATCTATAATTCATTATTTATTTTTCCTCCTACTTCTGACTTCTACTCATTACATTTTCACACAAGTGTCTGAACTTTCTATTCCTTACATTTGTACAACAAACGTTACTCGTTACTCATGGCTTCGGTTTAATGTTTATAAATATTTATTTCACATCATGTGCGCCATCCAATGCAGGTCATTGGCTCCATCCACATCTAGTGAAAACTAGTGAAATTGGATGAGTAATATAACTCAAACACTCATTGGTTAGCGAAAGGAAATAATCAGAAGCAAGCAGGTGTTCTTTAAACTGCAAACGTGAATTGTCTATACCATGCTACAATGTCAGATTCAGAAAAAGATGTAGAAATGTCTGAAAGGTCGGACACAGGTGAGAGCGTATCGGGAGATGGAGACTGAGACCAACAAGACCTCCCTCATCCTTGACCCTATCTCAAAGAATTTCTTTGAAATAGTCGAAAAATTGAGCTTTCAATTCATATAGTGGCATCTGGCTGTTTTTTGTTTTTTTGTTTTTTTAAGTATTTTTTCTGAGCACATACTTTTTCACTTTTACTTGAGTAAAGAGGTCAAGTTGATACTTCAGCTTTTACCAGAGTGTTTTTAAACTGCAGTATCTATACTTCTACTTAAGTAACAAATGTGTGTACTTTTGACACCACTGAGGAAAAGTACTATGAAATATCTTTACTCTTACTTGAGTAAAACCATTGACTTATCTATCCGCTATGAGTAACTTTACTATAAAAGCCTTAAATGCACCAGACACAGACAGACAGTTTACTATATGAGTAAAAGTACATATTGTTTCTTTGAGGCTGTGTACTCTGTTCCATCTTATATACTTTTAAGAAATGTTTTAATTACTCCCTTTTAGTCTTTTACACAAAATACATTTTTACATAACTTTTTTTAAAATATTTACTTCATTTGAAAGAATATAACATTTGCTCATTACGTGAGTATCCCTTTTAGTTTTACCTGAGTGTAATTTATTGGATGGCTACTTTCTAATTTCGCTTGAGTAGAAATATGTTGAAGTAGTGCTTCTTTTACTTGAGTAATGTTTTTGGTCCTCTACCCACCTCTGATAATATCACATTTCTTTGTCCCATATGTTAAAGCATGGCATTGGTCAGTAACCTAAATTAAGTTCTCACAGTTGTAGGATCAGATTCTAGGTTGTCAGTCTGATGGGCTATTTTTATTTCGCCATGTTGTGGTGTTTATAGGGTAAATAAAAGAGGCAAATGTATAAATACTTTTATCAGCCTTTTCTTCCTCACTGCATACAGTAAGAAAATATATATATATAATTTTTGTTTTCATTATTATTTATGTATTCATGTATGTATTGTTCTCAGAAGATTTTAAGAGGGTAGGTTTGCCTTTGATTTAATTTATGCAGCAATAAAAATGTAATAAGATTTTGTCTTTTTTTTTAGGTCATCTCTTATTAACGTGGTCTTGAAATACACATGCAATAGTACTGCTTTCATTTTAATAAAGGTAGCTTTGTAATGCAGTGTTAAGTAATAAAGCAAAATATTGCATCGTGTCCAAATGCAATAATTAATGCATCAACATCACAGTAGCTGCATTGTTGTTTTGTTGTTAAGGTTTATTTACTCCGCATTGCTAGAATGCATGGAAGAAAGTGGCAATTAAAATAATATTCCTGCACAAAGAACCTGTCACAGGCACAATTGGGTAATGTTGTAAACATCTAAACCAATAATGAAGTACATAGTTGTTCTCTGGTGGTAATAAGGACATATTTCTTTTCCTTTTCCACTTTGTCACCAGCTGCCAGAGTGGTTATTCTTGTATACATTATAATTATTGCTCAAAATTCAGGACTTCCTGGTATGTTTAGTTTTTTGTTGCAGTGAAACACAGTACATTATGTTTCACTTTGGCATGCAGACCTGCCCATACATGTCCTTATTAACTCTTACTCTCTGCTAATTTTAAACTGAAAGGCTTTTTGAAAACATCTTCATCTCATTTTGACATCAACTGTCACTTCAAATAAATGTTAGGGTTTCTCTCTCTTTCTTCTCTTTCCTATCACCTACCATTGACCCCTAGGGTTGATGAGCTTGAGCGCCTTAACTGTAAAAACCAACCGCCTGGGCACGTAGAAAGTTGTCTCATGTGAAATCCAGTCTAGTAAGAAAACTCTCGTAAAAAATGAAGTTTTCACAACTGATGCTCAGTGTTACTCAACACAGCATCTTGTCGGGGTGACAGGAGTGTCAGATAAATTTCCATGTCTGTTAAGTGCGTTTGCAACCGAAACCTGGCACAACTGAGGGATACTGAGTCCCAACATGTTGACAAAAATCTTATTATACGACTAAAAAGAAAAACTAAGAAATACGAGTAATAAAATGTCTAACTGTCTAAAAACTTCCTGAGTTTTTTGGGTTTTTTTGCTCTATCTGTTCATAGCCTTTTACTCGCTGAGATTCAGCATTTCCTGCACAAGCTGTCAGTGGATGGCTGCGCCTGTCACTGTGTCCGTTTGTGCTGCAAAAAGCTGGAGCTCTCTCCCAGGACTGTTCAGTACTCAATACCCTATGGTGCAGGCCATTGTAGACTGGTGACTATAGCCCCCTTTGTATACCAGCTCTTTTGAGAGATCGCCTTAGCATCCAAAGAACCCCCTGCCTCATTTGCTTTCTGCCTCCCCCTGCCTTTAATTCTCCATGGTTTTGGGGAGCTGAATTAGACCATTTCTCTCTTCTGTGTCCACAGAAATCATTTTCAGAGTTTTTTTCCATCCTCTTTGATCCATTTTCTGCACTGTGAACGTAAAGACGCACAATGAGCCTGAGGACTTGCTGTCGAGATTGCAGCAGAGGTTTCTTTAGCTGCCAACTGAAGAAACAGAGTGGTAATACAAACAAGGTGGGTATATTTAAAATCCAAAGTTAATCTAGATTAAATTTACTTTATTCTGTTTAAAACAATAATTCAGATGTTTTTTAAAGCTTTTCTGCTTAATGCTAACTAGCTGGAATAGCCACTTTCACCTGATCACATTAATACACAGACACTATGATCAGTTGGTATTAAGTGCCTTGCTTAGGTGGCAAGCTATCTCTGAGACATTAATATCTTTAAGGAAACAATCTATATGGATTTTGTTTTTATATTTACTATTATCATTTTCTGTGGTTCAGTTTTTAATAAGAGCTCCATGTTATGCTGAGTAAAGATGCTTTAGTCTTGGGTGGAGTCAAATGTTATTTTTACTCAAGTCATAGGTCCTTCTGATACAACCAATTCTCAAGTCATTAAATCTCTGACTTAAGTTGGAGGTTTAAAGTCCACACCTCTGGTTTTGTCATCGTTGGCAGAGTGGGCAGTTGCCAATTCCTGCTGTAAAATAAAATCATTATATCCATAAAGTTTATCAGAAGCATCAGAAAATGGATTGTTAATCAGTCATACAGTCATAGACAGGATTAAAGAAAATGAACCAAAGCTGCCAGCAGATTAAATATTTTTACAAATTTAGAGGGATGTTTGCAGATTTTTCCTCTTGTTCAGAAATGACTGAAGACAAAGTCTGTAAATGTGCGTTCACATCAAACAGGGCTGATTTTAAACACGGTCCGACTGGTGGTGGTTGTTTGACTTTTCACCTATCTCTGATAAAATCCGTGTGAACAACGTTGATATTGTGGTGAAATTTCACCCAGTACGCTTCACTAAGTCATCAGATAGAAGGAGCATCCAACCGTTTGCCAGTTCCTGTTGTATGTTCAACTGACCTTGGTGGAACAAACATTTTTATTGTGAGAGTCGTGGTTCTGTATGTTGTTAAAGTGAGAAGGATTTGTCCCCTTGTAAGGAAGGCTGTAGCGCCCCAGGGGCCTTCTCGCCGGTTCTCTAATAAAACCTAACAATGTGGAACCGGTCTCCCTGATTCCCCCAAATCTGCTCCCAGTTCCAAAAGCAATGGATGGATGATTGCTTTTAGCGATGATGGTAAAGCAAAGATGTGATGATTGAAGACCGATTATTTCAGTTTGTGCCAATAGAAGTGTATGAATTTGCAAGCTCTGACATGCTGTGATGGGTTAATTTGTTTATCTGCAATAAAAAGTAGATTAGGATGACTTTCTATCATTTCCTTTGTAGGAGAGCTGGTGTGTTTACCTGAGGAAAAATAAATAAAAGGGTTGAGCTGTCATGGTAGAGCATTTCTTCACCCTGTCCGTTGCTTTTCACACACAAACACAGCTGAGGAATGATCTGTATCATTTTATCTGGAACATAATTCCATTATCTTATCTTTCATTTTAGCGTTCCTGCTGCTGGTGCACATTCGTCAGTATTGGGGCCCTGGTTTCCATCTGCTGGATATATCTACTGATCATTTTCAATGACGGATACAATTTAAATGCGTGAGTGAGCAAATCAGATGTTTGTGTTTATTGATATATTGGTCTTTTACTTTCTTACCCCAGTCCTAATTCTGCTTCTACCAGGAAACTCTTCTATAAGTTTCACAAGCATTTGAATTATTTCATGGTAATGATGACCGTTTCTGCCATGTTTGCCAGCTACTGTGTTCTGCTGCTGGTGAGAATCAACATATCAGATTGAATAAAACTGAATAGCTTTAACCGGTTCTGTCTAAACCATTTTTTGTTTTTTTGTTTTTATGCAGCTTTTTGCATTGGTTCAAGTTGCATTGAGAGTGAAACTTCATCTACACTGGCTGCACAGGGTACATAAACCTTCACCTGTTAAAACTGTAATAGTTTAATCACAGACCTAACAGACATATTTCCTTCTCTGCAGATCCTCATTTTTATAGGCGTGATCTTAATCGCCCTAGTGATCACAGTAGCACTCAGTTTATTCCCTCACGACCCATGGACGGTTGCACCTATTTCATTCCAGGTACAGTAAACAGGCCAGCTGACAGTTTTGCTAGTGCCCGGGACAACAAAGTCTTTTTTGCACCACCACACACAAACACAAAATATTCAACTTAACTGCATACTTCATTCTCCTTTTATTCATTAATCTGCTGTTTACAGAAATATTTTTTTTAGTCCTCCAAACAAGTCTTAGATGACTTCACTTCATAAATGTGGTTAGACTTGGACCTTTCCTGGGACATTTTAGAGCCCAGGTAGTTTTTTATTATCTGCATTTTTCTGAAGGCCTTAGAATACCTTAGTCAGTCACAAGTAGATATAGGAAAAAAAAAAAGCAGGTTCTTCTATTTCCATAAACAATGTTTGTGTGCACCGTTTATTTCAAGCCCTGGAAATCTTTCATAAAGCTTTCTGTATTTTGTATTGGATATTTTCATCCCATCTATTCAATTTAGTGCACTGGGTTATCATTTTTTCTACTCCTAGGAGAACGGCAAGCACAGCAGGCAAAATATGGACTTTTCTGACCCGAACAAATTCTCTCTTCCATTGTGGGAGATAGAAAAAGTTAAATACTTTGGGGATTATCTGCCTTCATTTACCTTCTCTTTTTTGCCATTACAAACACTTAGAATCAGTTAGTGTGTTGGCTCTCTATTGCCTCCTCATACCCTCTACTCCTTTTTTCTCTGTCCACCAAGCTCCCCACCCCTCAGCCGGCTCTCCCATCTTTCACCCTGCACCTAGACCTCTGCCATCTCTCTGCTTTTGGCGCTAAGCTCAAGTATTTCTGTAAAAGTAACTGTGGTTTCCCTCTTACACTCGCTAGTGGATGCTATACTTTAAAATCACATTGATAAACGCATTGCTCCTTTCCTGGCTCTGAACGGGCATCATTCTTCCACAATTCCATTTCTGGACCTGTCCCTGACTCATCTTAAGTTTATTTTTAATATTTTAAATCCCTCAAGCCTTTGGTGTCATCTTCTTCCAACGTTTCTCTTCTCGTCTCTGTGCGCTGCACTTCTGAAAACCTGACATTCTTAGTTTGCAGCTAAATGAACTTCAAAAGTTGCAGCCCACCGTTGTCCTGGTCAAACCATTTTATGTTGAGGTGGGGGGAGTTCTAATGGACCCTTATTTAAAAAAAAATATATATTACATTGCCTGATGCACCTGAAATAGGAGACTGCGTTCTTTCCCTTATTTTAAACGTAAATTTTCTTGTTCCATTGGCAAAGTGTGTCACTTACCTGCTCAATTCAAGAAAAAAGGCACTTATTTTAAGAAAAATTGACTTACTTAGATTTCAGTTATTTGCGGTGCACTCTTATTTTTATGTTGTTGTGTGTGTGAACAAGCCAAAGGGAAATTTCTGCCATCATTGTGTATGATAGACAATAAAGTTATTCTATTCTATTCTATTTAGCTTTCAATCAGATACAAAAATAGCGTATAGAACAATAGAAGCCATTCAAAGTTCATTGCCTCTTTAAACACCTCTGTTACAATCACATTATTTCTTTACTTTTTCCAACCTCTTATGTGCCATTTGCTTGTAAAATATACCAGAAAGCAGTTACACCCAAGCTCATCGCATGCTGATTTGGAAGAGTTTATCCACATTGTTTAGTAAAAGCTCTCTAAAGATCTTAGATGGTAACAGCATCTCTTCTCCAAAGCCTTTTTTAATGGTGAACCCAAACTTTTTTTTTTTTTTTGGCAGAAGTAGCAATCCTATATTATATAATATTTACTAAATTTTAGGGGTGGGGTGATCTAGGCTGTTTTGTTGAACTGGGTGAACACCTGGACTCACTGTGGCACTATATAACTAGTGTTAGTCTTTGAAGTGGACACCCTAAGGATTACTTTTAAAAACCTCCTCCTTGGTTATGCACAGCTTTTTTTTTTGCGAACATTCATTTCAGTTAAATGAATCTGTTTCAATCCTTTGAAAATTGTCCATCAAATGTTCAATTTATTTAAAATTATCTTTCAGAAGGTTTTAGGAGATTCCGGCCATGTCTTGAATGTTTCTACACAAGAAACTGGTTCTGCCACATGCACGGTTGAACTTCCCTCGTTATAATTGAAGACATTTTGCTTTTCAGATGAAGAGTTTCCTTGATTTAGAGCTGAATCAGAGGTTCCAAGCTGCTTGGAAAGAGCCCTTCTATACGTTTGAATCCTTATACAGATCAGGCAATCAGGCGTCGTTACTGCCGTTGTTCATCTGGGACACAGAGGTGTTTTGATGACTGAAACCCTTCTCTGTCCAAGGCAAACAATGAAATATGTTCACGTTATTGAGCAAACTTCCTGATGTGCATGTGCTGAATGATTGGAACTCTTATTGTTTCTAAACATTTGGCTCTTCAAGTGAACCATGTGCAAATACAACTAGCAAAAAACTTTTTCCTGCTTTAGATATGTAGAGTTGTTTTAAACATTGTTAAAAAAAAATTAGTACAATGCCTTTTGTAGCTTGCTAAGCAGATCAAACAATGCAAAAAAAGTGAGAGGAAGCAGCCAAGATGTTACCTTTTCATTATGTAAGAGGTACGGAGGAACATGTTGGCACAACATACATTTTTACGGAAAATCTTTTTATTTTTATTATTTATCTTAAAAAGCTGTTTGGCTTGCGGACTAAAAAAAAAAACTTAGTATTTTGTCGGAGAATCTAATATAAACTCTCCTTTATCAGTAAAAATACAAATGGGTGACATGGACAAAAAAAAATGCATAATATTTTGACCTGCATTGAATGTAAAAAAAAAAAAAAAGAATCAACAAGTTTTACTTTCAAAGTTGCCAATAAATTAGCAAACAAATTTTCTAAAAGGTCAAGATACTTTAGTGATAAATAATGATACCCTCTTAACTAGATTATATTGATGTATAAATCCAATGCAGTGTTGAAAAAGGTAAAAATGTTTGAGAATAATCAGAAAATAATGCAGATCGATTTCATTTTAACATTTGCAATTTCTTCTCCATCATATTATAAACCTTAAATAATGGGAATTACTGAAAACTGATTAACTACCTTTTGGTGAATTTTGTATCTTACATTTGTTATTGTTTTTCACATCAATATAATAAAAAAAATGTTTAACCCAAGCACATGTACAGATTTAACACTGGGTGGAAAGTTTACCAGCATCATCATTTGTTCCCTCTTTGTAGTACACGGGTCCTTTCTTACAATTCGGTGCTGTTGGAGCCTGGACTCTGCTCAGCTGGTTCATCTTCCAGGCTTTCCATGAGGCAAAAAAAGGTACGTTGCTCATCACCTAATTTGTATACAAACACATGATTCAATGGCACCCATTTATATACACATTTCCACATAAATTCATTGCAATGCATGATTAAGTCTTTAAAGCATTTCTCATAGGAATCTTTAGGTGATCTTATACCAATGAATCAGACCCACTAATGGGTATGTGTGGGTAAATGTAACATATTTGTCTCCTTTTCCATCTAAAGCTCCAGGAACTGAATCGATCGTAAATAAACGAACTCCCTAGGGATTCCAGGGAATTCAGTTTCCTCTAAAAGCCCCAGGACAGGATTAATGACTGCATGATTAACTGACGGTAACCAATAAAAACTGATAAACAGTTATGCTTCTTTTATTATATTAATAAACAGGTAAACCGCCAGTCAAAATTGAATTTATTAAAGCCAGTCTGCATGTAAAAGGAATTTAACACCTAACCTTAATAATCATAGGCAAAAATTTTATTATCAGGTAGAAGCTTTAGATGGTATGGACAATGGGAAGACTACAAACGGATGCTCCAAAGCAAATAACGGACAGCATCCAACATGTAAGTTCTCCTCTTATTGTACCAGGCCAACTGACAGCCTGGGACAAACTATTAGGATATAGGCTCCTAACAATCACATTCATATCGTCTGTCTGATTGCAATCCATCTAATAAGAACTACATGAAAAGCCAGTCTACAGGGAATGTTTGAAAAGTGAAAGTGCTGCAATGCGATTGTTACTCTAGGAAAACATTTTTCTTCAGACTGGCTAAACGGTGTAAAATCTGTACCTGCATTTCCTTAAAATGTTCTGGTAAAACAGACAAAGTTTTGTGGTGTACTTTCTCGTAAAAGAAAAAAAAACATCTTAAAATAACTTTCCGTGTTAGATTAATTAACAGGTTATGACTGAGTGACTGACTGGCTGTCATTGGACCATAAATGGCACCTGGTTCTGCTGCTTTAACATAAATTTCAAAGTAGGCTATTTCTTGATCAACTGGACACATAGATGGGGTTCTGAGTTATACTTACTCATTAAAAAACATTTTCAAATTTGTTTTTTAGTATACTAAAGGTATAAAAACAACAGTTTTACCATCACCTTTATCAGTTACTTACTGAGTTTCCTACTCGGTTACTGGCACTGGTAAAACAAAGCAATGCACCTGTGGACACTACCACCCTCAACAAGCTAGAGGAAAGGTATAATGCATTAGGTATGTGAGCAACTAAAGCCCTGGGAAAATGAAATTACCCTGGTAAACATGCTGGGCTTTAAAAAGCAAAAGGATATCAAGTGACAAGGGAGAACAAGGAGCTATTTAGAGTAAAAAGAGAGCTGGAAAGCTTAAAAAAAAACATTACAGACCCATTTATTTATTCATTTTATATGTTTATTTTATTTTTTTTCACAACAGAAACATTAACCATTAAAAGTGAATTTAAGGTGAAAAGAAGGTAGCTTTCTTTAACAAAAACAATTGAATATTTTACAGCTTATGTCATTCTTGCCAGAGAAAATAATTGCATTTTTGTTTCAAGAAGGACGAATTTCAAGCCAATGTACTTTATGGCTGCAACTAACGATTGTTTTGAAAATTGATTCGTCTGTAGATTATTTTTTTAAAAGACTTTTTACTAAATTAATCCAGGTGAAACTAAAACATTTTCCCTTAAGGATTTCTGGATAGAGCCTATTGAGAGACAAAAACATTTGATCTTAAATGCAAAATGTATAAAAATATATAGTTTTTTACAATTTTTATAATAATTTCTGCTTTAAGTGGGTTACTCTGTCAGCTAAAGACATGTCTTTCAGTCTCTACCTCAAATTAACTAATAATTAATTACTAAATTAGATGACAATTATTTCAATAATCAATTAATCGCAATTAATCTGATTAATTGTTTAAACCCTAATATACTTAATAGTTAACCATAACAGCACGTTAGAGTATTTTTTTTTTTTTAAATAGCATTCTTAAAAAATCAGCTGCTAAACAACTGTAGTTTTAAAAGGTTATTTTTTAACCAGAGTGACAAATTGTGTGACATCTGGTTTAATCTTTAGCATATAAACTATTTAAAAGAGAAACCAAAAAGTTTTTGGCAGTGACAAGTAACCCAACAATGGCTGCTTGTGTCATTTAAAACGGTTAAAAATTCAGACGTTTGGCTCACTGTCGTTCAGACGTTGAGTAAAAGGTGATGGTAGGAGCCAAGATAAACACGGAAAACTTGCGCAACATATGACAGCACCTTCAGTTAATTGTAACACGAGATGTAAAACAGTGTTGTTTTTTGATTGGTCAAAAAAAGAAAAAAGCAGACATTTTACATTCCGTCTTGCCAAGCAAACAGTGGTTGATTTAAAACATGGAAATTAATTAAATTGCTGTTCACTTCTAATACCTTGGTTTTAAAAATGAGCTTTGTTTTACATTTAAGAATTTTTTTTATGCATTAAAGAGACAACAAAGTCACATAAAACATTTTATTTTGATAGCTCAAGATGTATAGAAGCAGTTGAACATATTGCTATTTTAATAACTTTCACAATAACTTTTTGGGAGATTGGAAGGACAAATATAGTAAAATGATAAAAATAAAGGAAGAGCCTTTAATAATTATTACTTATACTAACATCTAAAAATGTTTTTTTATATAACATTGGGCGTACAAAAACAGTCATACTTTTAAATGTCATGATATTCCAGGGAGTATGCTTAGCAACTGTAAGATAGCATATGCAGTTGGACTCGGATGTTATATTTTGCTGCTTCTTAAACAAACTATATTACATGTGTATACTGTTAGAATAAACTGTATAAACGTCTGTATAAAAACCGATGCCACATCAAACTAAATGTTTACTTTTTTTAGATCAGTTTATGACTAGAATTATCTCTTTGCTAAATACCACGATAAACTGTAAGACTTGGTCCATTTTTTCCATCCTTCCACAAGCTTTTAAAAACAATTTACAAGAATTCTGGACCATTCCTACTGATTCATCTGTTGTAACTGAGTTTGTAAGCCACACTCCTACGTACCTCTTCAACTCTACCCACAAACTTACTGGGCTGAGATCAGGGACGGCTACTCCAAAACATCACGTTTCTTTTCCTTAAGCTACTCTGTCACTAATTTGTCAGCATGTTTTGTTGTTCTTTTAGAAGATGAATTTTCCTCAAGCTTTTAGTCCTTCATCTTGGAGTGCTGCTTTAGTATTTTCACATGGTGTTCTTTTCACTATGAAATCTATCTAGTAGGGCTGGGCGATATAGAAAAAAAGCTTATCGATAAAAAAAAATGCATATTGATCGATATCGATAATTATTGAAAAGATTTGAAACCATATTTTATGTGCAGCTCTGCCTGGACTTTTTATAATATTGCTAAATTATTTAATTTTAATAAAAAACACAAACACAAACTTCAAATTAAATCTTTATTTAACCAACTTTTTTAACCATAACAGAATTGTTTTAAAGAAAAATAACTTAAGAGACCTGAGTTATGTTATTAAATACTGACAAAGAATAAACTAAAGTGACCAGAAAAGTGACCAAAATAAATATAACAAATAAATAAATGGAAATGGCTGAACCTGGTTCAGCTTAGTTTCCTGCTTTAACCTGAGTTATTACTTTGAAGTTTCTGGCCCCTCAGCATTTTTCTCTCAATTGTTAGAACTACGTGGGAAACTGCCCAGAACTGAAAATATATATATATTTTCCGAAGATTCCTCGGAGGAGAGCCGCACCGGGGCCTGCACAGCTCGTACTCCTGCGGCTGTGATGATAAAAAAAAAAAGTTGGTTTCGTTATCAGACTGGTTTTCACTGGTTCCCGACACATTTTCCAGATGACTGTGGTTTGTTTTTGGTCCGACTTGCCATGACCGAAATACTGCCAGACTGCCGAACTACAAAAACCTTTCTTTGAAACAATTTCCTCCGCCTCTCCTTGCTGCACAGCTTCATGTGCTCTGTGTTGTGGTTTGAGAGGGCGGCGCTTGGTGACGGCATGCCTGGGTCCGCGATTGTGATTGGTTGGGAGGAAGCAGTGACTAGCATAAACCTACATGCTAGGCTACAATGAGAAGGAAGGAAAACTGCGTTTCTTTTTTATCGAACTTTTATCGACCCTCTTTTTTTCTATTGCGCCACACGTCTATCGATCGATATATATCGTTATTGAATTATCGCCCAGCCCTACTATCTAGTATACTTCTACAGCCCTGCTTCACAGTTAAGATTTTCTGAGGCTTTAGATATTCTCACCTTTTTGTCAAAATGTTAAGCTCCATAAATTGAGGTCTGTGTGCCCAAGTACATTTTATTTATCTTCAATATGCTTTTTGGGGGAATGGCTTCTTCCTCACTGATTGGCCTTTTAGCCCATGTGAAAACAGGACTTATTGCACCATGCACGATGATTCTTATTGGTTTTAAACAGCATCTTTACAAGGTGATCTGTTGTTGTTACACACATTTCGAAACAAAACAATTTGAAATGAAGGACCAGTCTCCTTGCTAAATGATAACACTGATGCTGGATTATAGAAACTTCTATAATAGAAAAAAAACAAAAATAATGAACTTCATTGATTTTACTGTGGTAATTCTGTTTCATATAATGCAAGTATAGCCTGTGTGTAGAGCATTTAACTATCAGTTCAGCTGGTCACTTTAAAATATTGTGGTAAAGTAAATAAAAATGAGATGTCAAGATAAATCAACCTGACTATCAGAACACTGTGAATTTATATCATAAATAATACCTGTACTTCTTAAGTGTGACAGGACTTGATATTTAGTCCTGTTTTTTAACGTCATATGCAAATTGGGTCACATATGACAACAACTTAAGTTATAATCGTTTTTGTTGAGAAATGACGAAGACCTTAGAATACAGCTGACATCCTCCCACTAATCCTTTAAATGTCTAAAAATGGAATCCTGACTTGTTGATGTTTTTTCTTCTTTTCCAGGATCAAAGTGGATAATTGGTCTGGTATTTGTTATTGTGTCAGCATTCATCTTTTCCTGTCCCCTCCTCATCCACTCACCCTGTTTGATATACCTAGAGGATTTAGAAAACACAACCAAACCAAGTCTCTGGGGCCACAGAGGAGCACCAATGGTGAGTATGCTGATTTAACAAGATCTAAAATTAAAGATAAAAAAAAAAAAATGCATTTGTTTTCTACAACTCCAGCAGGAGGTGCATTCATGTTTAGCTAAACTGTAGGTTGTTTAGAATAAATCCTGTTCTGTGTTTGGTAATGACAATGTATTTTTACACCTGCTTTTATTGATGCTGCAACAGTCATACGAGGGGCCCCGTATGGCCCCTATCTGCACCCTTGTTGGCATGCTCTGCTGCTGGGTCAACAATGAGCTCCATTTAATATTGTGTATTTAACCACCTGTGTGCTCACAGCCTCAGGGTATTTTGTGTAAAAATGTTTCTCACCCTTATGCTCTTGCTATGTTCAGCTTGCCCCGGAGAACACCATGATGTCGTTTGAAAGGAGTGCAACTGTTTGCAATGTGGCGTTGTTTGAGACAGACGTGCAGCTTAGGTAGGGGGAAAATGTTGACCTGCCTCTACTGATTTGGTCTTTAAATGTTTTTGCAGTCATATATCAACCTCATAGTGTAATGTTTGTTTTATGAGTGAATGGTACATATGCCAGATAAAAAAAAAAACTAAGCACTGTAATTATTGTGTTTGGTACTTTAGCAAAGACGGAATTCCTTTTCTGATGCACGACAATAAGTCAGGGTTCCTCAATAGAACAACAAATATTACAACACTGGTCGAAAGTGGCAAAGAGTGGAACTTTAATAAGCTGAGGAGTCTAAATGCGGGGGAATGGTTCATTAAGGTGAGTGCTCTCTCTGTTTGTAAGCCTCGCTGAAAGTCTAAATAAAAAGAGAAAATGCAACTAAATACTAAAAACGTTATTTTTCTTTTCAGGCAGATCCTTTTCATACAGTGCACCTGCTTAAAGAAGAACAGAAAAAGAAAGCTAAAGAGGAAAAAATACCTAAACTAAGTGAGCTACTTGAGCTCGCCATAAAGACAGAAATTCCCGTTATGTTTGACTTGTATGTTCGTAATAACAGTAATACCGAAGAGGTAGATAAAGACGCTGAAGACATTGTGAAGACCATCCAGAATTCTAGAATTGACTCCAGACTGGTAGGTCTAAATGCTCTTGTAGAACTTAAAAACATTGTATTTAGTAAGATTTTAAAGGATTGTGTTGTTCTAGATCTACTGGCTTAATTCAGAAAAAAGAAAGCGTCCAACAAATGCTGCAAACTTCACCCAGGTTTACGAAAACGAAGATGAGATGCATGAAGAAAATGGATTTCGCCTCAATGTGAAGTTTAGTGAATTTAGTATGGACAAAATCAGGTAAGACATGGCAAAATTCACAGAAAAAAACACTAGTCTGCAGGTAGTGCTTCATTCAGATGGGGTTGGAACGAAGTAGTGTGTTGAATAGGTGCATGTCTTGACAAAGCGCTTGGTCTTTATGTGTAAACTTTGGCTCAAGGGTATACCGTAGAATAATGCACCAAACCCTCTAAGGTGTTTTTAAACAAGGAGCAAAGCATGCATAAAACATTAAACATGTTGCAACAGTGTTTTCCATTCCATAAAGTCCATGAATCGGAGCACTTCAGGGACTTCATTGAAGTGTTGTGGCGCGGCGAATAAAAGCTGTTGCTGCTGCATTTTTGTATGACTTGAGCTTTTCACATTTATATTGCAGAACATAGCATTGGGAATATTTACATTAGCATGCCTGGTCTTGGGCCTGTTGTGTACACGGATGGGTGTGTGGCCTCAATTCTCAACAATAGACACAAAGCAAAAACTTGGGCTTTTCTTTATTGAAAAATCCTTTGGAAGTCAGAATGAAACGATTTGCCAATAAAGAATTAGTACTCTTTCCGCTTGGCTGTGCAGTATATTTAGAGAAGTAGATTGTTGAAGCTCACTCACCCAACTTTCTTGCCCCTATTCTCTTTTTATTTGAAATTTATGGGGAGAAAATGAGATCATTAAAAATAAAAATGTAGTATCAAAAATTTGACGATTTTAATACTAAAAAGCCTGTAATCACATTTAACAATAAATAATGTTTTGGATTGGATTGGATTACAAGTATGACCAAATTACAGACCTGGAAAGCTGATATAAATAGTATCAAAATGTCAGTTATGCAGCAGCTAATACATGTTTGATTTTGGATTAATATTAGTTAGACAATTCATAAAAAAAAAAAAAATGACCTCAGATATTTTATAGTAACGTATATCTTCCTCATGCTGTCATATTAAAATAGATCAAATCCTCTGGTTGTAACAAAGTATTGCTTTATCTTAAGAAATATTTTTAATATTTTTTTTTTTGTAAGTGGAGATCCCTTTATTGTCCCACAATGGGGAAATTCTCTGTATTTGACCCATCCCCTTGGAGAGCAGTGGGCTGCCACCGTGTGGCGCCCAGAGAGCAATCAGGGGTTAAGCGTTTTGCTCAGAAACCCAGAGTGGAGGTTGTGGGGATCTAACTAGTTAATTGCGGCCTTCACAGAACACAAACCTACTGCTCTAACCCACTCAAGCCAACACACCCCTTTAGCCATTTTAATCCTTTGTTTCAGTTAATGTTAACCAGGGAAGTCGTGTTTGGATTCAAACACCTCTTTATCAAGGATGTCCTGTTTATGTTTTTTGTTTTCCAATCCTATCTGGATTTATTATTGACATTTAGTACTTGCCATACTGAGTTAATTTTTCAGTGATCATTTAAGGACATTCTGCTATTTCCATCCATTCATTTTCTCCTGCTTAGTCCTTCTCAGAATCACAGTGGGGCTCCACCCTGTAGTCTATGGGTGAGATGCGGGATACACCCTTTACAAGTCACCTGTCTGTCGCAGGGCAAAACAGAGACCCACAAGGACACACAACCGTGCACACATGCACACACCTAAGCACAATTTAGAGAAGCCAATTAACCTAACAGTCATGTTTTTGGACCGTGGGAGGAAGCCGCAGTACCCGAATGCACAGGGAGAACATGCAAAATCTGTGCAGAAAGACCCTGGGCGAGGAATCAAACCCAGATCCTTCTTGGTACAAGGCAATGGTGCTACCCACTGTGCCACCATGGAGCCCTTCTTCTGCTGTTTAAGGAAAATAAACATTCCTCAAGTATCACACAGTGGGAAAATATCCCCACTGTGTTAATGCTTCCTAGTGGGCTGCACACACTGGGCCTAACCTTCAAATGACCAGAACATGGAAATTACTGGGAGCAGATTATACAAATACCTGCATACGATGATCAGACTTGAGACAGATTGCAGGTGCAGGTTTTGCATATTTAAATAAGCTAAAGCTATACATTTAGGGTGGGGGGTACAAAGCTTTCATTGTGGGCACTTAAAAGTGTATGGTGCTTTCTGTACAACATTTACTGAATTTTATAGGAGTTCAGAAGGAGATTGCCAATACTTTGGCTACAAATCTGACAGTGGCAGTTACTCGGCCTAAAGTTAAAGTTTACTCAGTTCCACTGCTTTTATTCTGTCACAGCTGTTCCAAATCCCCTATTTACTCATCTGGGTTCCTTGTAATTTTCTTACATGAGTGAAGGTAAATTTTCTTTGTAATTTTCCTCCCCTCCCTCAGTATTTAATTTCCTCTTACTCAGTTGTTTCCTGCCAGGTCCTTCTGTTATTTCATACCAAACTATCACCTTATTCTTCTTTCGGCTGTTTTGCAATACATAATCTTTTATCATTGAACTTGTGTAATTGTTCTGCTTCTGTCTGCATTTGGGTCCAATTAAAACACATGAATAGATGCTGGCTATTCTTGATTTTATTTACTTTAATACTTGTTTTATGTTATTCAAGGAAAAAAATTAAGCATTTAACTGAACCAAATTCCGCCCTCTGCAGGCTAGTTGATATTACAACGCCTATTAATTTTAACGAGAGAGAGAGAGAGAGAGAGAGAGAGAGAGAGTTTTTGCACACCAAGCTTTGAAAGAGTTGTGTGTTACATCACCAGGAACTAGAACTAACTGTGTGCAATAATGTTAACATTTAACTACAAATAAAACAGGAACTGCTAGTTCTTAGTATTTTGAGGTTTGATTAAAACTGTGCAACCGTCATTATATACAGATGGTAAAGGGGTTGAATAAATTCTGATTTAAAAACAGAATTATTTTTACATCATACTGTTCCTTAGAGTATTTATCCCTTTAAATGACATCCCAGACAGAGTGATGGATTGCTTTATCAGTCAGCTGCCATAACCTGTCTTCAAATAATTGAAATATTTGCTTTGATCCAGCTGAACAGATAAAAAAATGGTTGCAAGCAAGTCACACATCAGGGCACATGGGGTTCGATGCAGCACTATGTGGTGGGGATAGTTGTCTTGATTAAGGATGATTAACTAACATAACAAAAAATAAATGTAATCTCTAAACAACTTTTAATTAGCTTGACTCGGGGCAAAATGGCTTTTAATATGAAAGGTTGCAGACCCCTGAACTAAAGAAAAACCCAAAACAAAAAAGAAATGCTAAAAGAAACTCTGTGCAGGACTGTTTTCCAGAGGATCCATTTCTCCCCAGCACTCAGACTCTTTAATAAACATTAAAAATGGGTCACTGCTGAAGTAAGTGCATTTACTACCCATTAAAGAGCATATAAATAAAAAATGTGATTCTACGCAGCTTTGATGGGACTTTTTTCTATACATACTGCAACTTCTCAAACGTTTTCGTTTGTCCTATTAGAAACTATTCCAGTTGAACAAGAGAAAACTAAATGAAGACTGTTATAGTAAGCCTTGTATAAAGTATATATTGCTGAACCACATTACAAGTACCACACCCAAGCCTCTCCCAGTCTGCGTCTTGCAATAATGCATCCCCCTAGGACATGCATGCAGCCTAACATTTAACTTGTCACACCTATCATTCAAATGACATAGTTACAGTTGCATAGAATAAACTTCTGTTTCCTCTTTTCTGTGTTATGGTGACTAGAGATGCGTGATAATTGATTTTTATACAAACACCTACAACAAAATGTTCTACTTTCAAAGGCGATAACCGGTAACCGATAACCAATAACATACCCGTAGATGAAACCAACAGGTAAAGATGGCAAATTTTATCAATGACTGAATAAATTAGGATAATTGTAGAATTAAAAAACTATATGCAAGCCATAATTTGTTGAAATACATCAGACAGAACCATATTTCAAATGAACATCTACTTTAATGGAGTGCATTACTTTTTGATGTCAAACAAAAGCTGTTAAATCCAAAAAAAAAAATCATCATTTAGATTCCATTTAATTAAATGTATTATTAATATATGATTGTAAGAAATAATTTCAACTGAAATAGTGTATTCTTTACACATTTAGAAACTAAAACAATGAACCACTGACAGCTTTCCACTTGTTTGTGTAAAAGCACAAACTAGTTTTAAATGAATCAGGGGAAGATTTCCTTTCAAAAAGCAACATCTCTGCCTTTTCACAGCAGGTTTGTTCTTTTATTTTCCATTATGTGTTAAATCCAGCCAGGCACCTGAAGTAAGACTGGAACTAATGCTCCAGCTCATGAAATGTTCAAAAAGCCACCCTGTTACACAAAATGCTGCACAAAGCTACCTTATTGCCTTTCCCTGAAACCCAAAAGAAGTTCCAAACTTCAGCCGCCATGTTTTCTGTCTATTTCTTACATGCTGTATTGCATTCAAGGGGAGGCAGAAGTTACCTGCTCCTAGTTTGGTATTAAGTCCTCTGACCTTGTGCAAGCTAACAGGATAGTTAGTAAAATATTATAAACAATCATTAAAATAATGACTTAGTAGTTTTCTGGTTTGAAGAAGTTTTTAAATGATTTGTTTTCCCAGCTAGAATTTTGACACCACTCAGGAGTGAGCACTTGTTAAAAAAAACAACAGAAAAGAAAAACAAGAAAACTCTCCCACAGCTCTCCTATCAAACATATATAGGCACTATTTGACATACTGGACAGAGACGTTTGACATTATGATTTCTTGGTAACTAACTAATAGTTGTATTTCCTCCTCCTAAAAAAAATTGTATTTCCTGCATTTTAACCAAATTGTATCCCTTTTCAGCTCAACACAGAACCATACTAAATATAATTATACTTTATATCTATACTATATATATTTTGTTCTTTGAGCGTGGATTTTATTTCTTGCAATAAGCTACAGCAAATTAAAATAATTAATAAATGGAAATGTTAAGCCTGCACAGTATCATCGTGCACAGAAATCCCCTCACAAAACCAATGGCGTGCTTGGCCTGATAGGGAAGATTACTGGTATTATATTAATGTTTTTATTTTTTGCTTTTCTTTGGTTTATTTTGGTTGTTAGTTACCCAGATTATTAAATTAATCTTTGTTGTGCTATACTTTTCCTGAGCAGGTCAGCTGGGCACTTGCAATAAATAATGTTGCAATAGATGCTTTGAGTTGGCGAACGCAGGTGCACAGTTTGTAGAACTAGAACTAAACATGAGGACCGTCACCAGGAAACCATGACAACGCCTCAAGAACAGAGATTACCGAGTGGAGAATGCTTTAGACAGACAACGTCATAAGGGGAAGGTGAATGAAGAACAGTAGAACTCCGAGAGGGAGGGAGAGAGAATCAGGACTCGTAGACATGGGTCACACTCGCAACAGTAGAGTTGTTCTGTGCGCAAGTGCCATCGAAATTACTGTTTGTTTTTTTGTTTTTTGTGAAAATACAGAACAAATTTATCAGTTCAATACGGGACGCGTAATTAAACTTCTAAATATGGCAACCCTAGTTGTATGTCACTAATTTCTGATCATCAGTTTGTGACCCTCAGCTAATGCTACATTGGGTTTTCTAGCAGAACATTAGCTACGACTATGATGAACACGCCATCCTGCCCTCTACCCGTGTAGCAAATGAGCGTTAGATACTGCTGAGACCTTAACACCAAAAAACAAGAGACAGAGGGAAGTTAAAGTTGGCTTTCTTTTCTTCTACAATTAAACAATTTACAGTTATTTTTAATGATTACATCAGATCAACTGGTTGGTACATGTACACACACATCATGATTGGATCATTTTATTTAGTGTCCATGTAAACGGAGATTTTGAATTTCTGATTAACCAAAATTGAGATTGGATCAGGGGGGAATTTATTTATGTAATCGTAGCTAATGACTCAAACCACACCAAGAAGTCCACCTCTGAATGACTACTAAAGAATGGTTTCAAAATGGCCTAGTCAAAGTCAAAACAATGAATAATAAAGTGACATGACCAAATGGAGGCCATTAATGCTCAAATCCTTTAATGTGGATGAATTAAAATAATTCTGCATGGGTTGCAAGGTTGGCACTAACAGCTGTTAGGGATGCTGGCTGATCACCATTTTACATAAAGTCAGTTTGGTTGGATTTATATTTGTTCCTTAATAAAGTAAAACAAACACAAACATACTGGATGTAAACAAGCAGACAGGCACACGTACTCAGGGTTGATAAACACTAGTCAGTCACACTATTTCCTTTATTTCAGAAACCTTTTAAGCAAATCTGTACATCAGAGTTCTATTAAAAATCAAATCAGAAACAACACAGCTGAAGGAAATGATATTTACACACATTATGAACATATTAATTTCTAGTTTATAACGCCTCTCCCACTTTAATTTAGGTGGATAACTACAATATTAACTTCAATTGCTCTGTTTGCCAGCTGGTTGCCAGGTTTTGTTAATGCTAACGTTTGGTCATGTCAGTACAAATCAGTGTATATACACTCACCGGCCACTTTATTAGGTACCCCATGCTAGTAACGGGTTGGACCCCCTTTTGCCTTCAGAACTGCCTCAATTCTTCGTGGCATAGATTCAACAAGGTGCTGGAAGCATTCCTCAGGGAGTTTGGTCCATATTGACATGATGGCATCACACAGTTGCCGCAGATTTGTCTCCCGTTCCACCACATCCCAAAGATGCTCTATTGGATTGAGATCTGGTGACTGTGGAGGCCATTTGAGTACAGTGAACTCATTGTCATGTTCAAGAAACCAGTCTGAGATGATTCCAGCTTTATGACATGGCGCATTATCCTGCTGAAAGTAGCCATCAGAAGTTGGGTACATTGTGGTCATAAAGGGATGGACATGGTCAGCAACAATACTCAGGTAGGCTGTGGCGTTGCAACGATGCTCAATTGGTACCAAGGGGCCCAAAGATTGCCAAGAAAATATTCCCCACACCATGACACCACCACCACCAGCCTGAACCGTTGATACAAGGCAGGATGGATCCATGCTTTTTCATGTTGTAGACGCCAAATTCTGACCCTACCATCCGAATGTCGCAGCAGAAATCGAGACTCATCAGACCAGGCAACGTTTTTCCAATCTTCTATTGTCCAATTTCGATGAGCTTGTGCAAATTGTAGCCTCAGTTTCCTGTTCTTAGCTGAAAGGAGTGGCACCCGGTGTGGTCTTCTGCTGCTGTAGCCCATCTGCCTCAAAGTTCGACGTACTGTGCGTTCAGAGATGCTCTTCTGCCCACCTTGGTTGTAACGGGTGGTTATTTGAGTCACTGTTGCCCTTCTATCAGCTCGAACCAGTCTGGCCATTCTCCTCTGACCTCTGGCATCAACAAGGCATTTCCGCCCACAGAACTGCCGCTCACTGGATGTTTTTTCTTTTTCGGACCATCCTCTGTAAACCCTAGAGATGGTTGTGCGTGAAAATCCCAGTAGATCAGCAGTTTCTGAAATACACAGACCAGCCCTTCTGGCACCAACAATCATGCCACGTTCAAAGTCACTCAAATCACCTTTCTTCCCCATACTGATGCTCGGTTTGAACTGAAGGAGATTGTCTTGACCATGTCTACATGCCTAAATGCACTGAGTTGCCGCTATGTGATTGGCTAGCTAAAATTATCTGGCAACACCTGAGCTCCGTGTCACATGACGTCAACTTCTTATCCCTATTGGAGCCAAACCTTATCATTGGCATCATAATCATTGGACTTGTCAAATCTATAAAACATTTAATATATTTTTTCCCGCTATTTTATTTTAAAATAATTGTTTTGATGAAAAGGTTGTAGCTATGAACTTTAATACTTTGAAATGTCCTGAAAAGTTTCTGTTTGTCATGCTGAGTTTGTATCTGACAGGGATCTTCGGAAAGAAGGCGTAAAGGTGAACGTGTATGTGGTGGACAGGCGCTGGCTCTTCTCTCTGTTTTGGTGTGCAGGGGTCAGTTCCGTCACCACCAACGCCTGCCATGTCCTAAAAGAGATGGAGCAGCCTGACTGGCACATGGTGAGAAACCTGTAGAAACAGCTGCTCGCTTTGCTTTTAAAAACCACTGCTTTCTGAGATCTGTGACCCTCCCTGACCCGGTGGACATGTTTTTATGTTTCAGTCACCCGATGTATACAGAACAACATGGATATCGGTAGATGTTGCATCCTTTTTGATAATGATTGCTATCTTTTGCTATCAGTGGTAAGCAAACCACAGTTTCTTTTTTTTGCTTTTTTGATGGCATTGGAAAATGTTAATGGCCATGTACATGTTTATTTTTCATTACAGGAAGAAAAGATGTTCATATCTCAATGAAGGTAATAAGAATATAACATTCATACATCTATTAAATATAAACTATTCTACTAACTCTTTATCTTAGTAACTAATATAACTTAATTAAGCCTATTTTAATTTATTTTATTTTAGTCATTAACTTTCTTTTATTTTTTTGTTTTTCTTCCAGGGATCACCAGCGCTTCCCCGTCTTATGAATTAGAAATCTCTCCTTTAGTTTAAACACTAACAGACCTCGCCAGGCCCAGAGCAGCTGCCCTTTCTGCATCACCACAGCATTATTAAACCTTTGCAGGTCAAAAGGAAGAAAAAAAAAAGAGTATTGGGCATACGTTTATTTTTTTTTTCTTATAAAGCTGTGAAAAAAATATTTTGTTTCCTTTTCTAGGACTTTAAAGATTGTATTTAAATATCAGTCTTTGACTTTAAGATCAGGATTGCATCAGGAAAAGGACCTGGTGGAAAAACTGTCTGTGAGCACACTGTAATGACTTACTGTGGTAACCTGTGAAAAATAGAGCAGCCAAAACGACTCATCGTCTTTTTTCCAAGACATAAAACTGTGTCTTTTGATGATAATATGTAAAGGCTATGGCTGAAATACTTTGACTATACCCACATATATATATATATATATATATATATATATATATATATATATATATATATATATAGAGAGAGAGAGAGAGAGAGAGAGAGAGAGAGAGAGAGAGAGAGAGAGAGAGAGAGAGAGAGAGAGAGAGAGAGAGAGAGAGAGAGAGAGAGAGAGAGAGAGAGAGAGAGAGAGAGAGAGAGAGACGGAGAGAGAGAGAGAGAGAGAGAGAGAGAGAGAGAGAGAGAGAGAGAGAGAGAGAGAGAGAGAGAGAGAGAGAGAGAGAGAGAGAGAGAGAGAGAGAGAGAGAGAGAGAGAGAGAGAGAGAGAGAGAGAGAGAGAGAGAGAGAGAGAGAGAGAGAGAGAGAGAGAGAGAGAGAGAGAGAGAGAGAGAGAGAGAGAGAGAGAGAGAGAGAGAGAGAGAGAGAGAGAGAGAGAGAGAGAGAGAGAGAGAGAGAGAGAGAGAGATCTTTTTTTTTATTTTTTTTTTTTTTTTTTTTACACAGTTCAAGAGTAGCTACAGTTCAGCTCCAAATGTTTCATAACCCTGACATTAAAATTTTAAATAATTTTATTGAAGAAATCTGTATTGGAAAAGAAAAGGGACAGCCATCTCCTTAAAAATAACAAAATGATGACAAATATTGTTTTAAATGAAAACTAAATCTCATTATTACTGATTAGTTTTTTTTTTTTTTTTTTTTTTATTCCTCCACTGTTATATTGACAGTTTATCATCTAGGAGGAGCTCCAGGTCTGAGTTTGAAAAGCCTCCATGTCATCACCCTAATCTCTGACACTTTAAATGACTAAAATGGTCTAAAGAAATATGTGAGGGTTAATCTGACGGGGTATAAACAATTAAGAGCTCTATTGTAGCTCTACAAGAAAAACATCTGTAACCTGAGCCAAATAACCAGAACTGCAGCTTTTTTGTATGCTTAAATGTTTAAACTGTATTCTGTTTGTGTGTTACTACACTGTCTGGTCTCAGGGAATAAACAGAAGCTTTGTATTTTAAAAGTAAAGGAATATGATTATGAAAAGGTCAACATTCTTCAGAGTGGGTTTTAAGGATATGTTAAGGGGGAATGAAATTGGGTTTGTGGTTTTCAAATCCAACTTTTACATAAGGAAGACAAATAAAAACAAAATTTAAACATCTGACATTAATTATTTTAATAAAGTTAAGCCATTCCAAAGGGTTTGTCTTACCATATATTAATTTTAAACGTTCAGAAAAAAGAGTGACTCTGAATTAAATACAGAAAGAATTAAGAATTCAAAACAATGTTACACACACACACACATATATATATATAAAATATCTTAATAAATCTTAACTTTATATGCTGTAATTTAATGTGTTGTTTTTTTCCGTTGTGGTAAAATATACTGAGGAGAAAATAATAACATTTGTATTATGTTATTCCAGAGACTGTGCACTTCAGTAATATGCAAAATGACAATAAATTTTAAATAAAATTGCAATGTCTAAAATGTGAAGTGTCTTTTAAATGAACCGCTTGTGGTTGAAGACTTTGATAGCCATATAAAAAGAAGGAAATTTTATTTTACAGATAAAAAAAAAATACATTACAATAATTACGCAATTCTCAAGATTGCTTAATCTGAAAAATCCTTATCCTTTTTGATTGAAGTATTTTTTTTTTACTTTTTTTATACTTACCAAGTATTTGTGTAGTAATTATTTTTAATGTTTCTGAGTATATTTTAATAGTTGTAATCAAAATATAACCATTAAACTACACTCTATTGAAAGATCTGAGATAGTGGTCATCCAGCCTACATTTCCCACAATGCAGTGCTGCCACCAACCGATGTGTGGAGATTTGGGTGTGTTATGCTAGTAGCTGCCATGGTAGCGGCTAATGTGCTCTCCATCCGCTAGCCTCCAAGAGGGATGAGGAGCCGGCTAAACAGCACTGGTAAGCAAACTTATAGAAACCGCTAACATGTTTCAGCGGTGACTTTAAACACATAGTCTACAGCCCCACCTACGACTGAATCAGCTGCGCTATTTGACCAGTTAACGTTTTTCATTGCAGGAGCTAACCCAGCAGGTTCGGAAGTCGGTGGAGTTCTCATTTAAACTGTGATTTATTCTAGCAATATCTTTTCTCACCACAAGATGGCGCGCACTTCAAGAAAATGCAAAGAGGCGGCTAATGATAAAAGTATAAAACCGCTTAACTTTGCTAATAGGGGGTGATAACGGTTAAAACCCAATATTAGTTTAACGTCTATAAAATAAAGAAGAAAAACGTGTAAGAAAGACTAAACCAGCGAGTCTTTTTCACAACGGCTAAGCAGCCCCACTGAAGTTGGCTTCTGATTCGGTTTCACTGTAAAGGGCTATTTTTTTTTTTCATAAATGTTGAAAACGAATAGCTACATTTAATCAAGTCCTTTTTAATTTCATGCATTCTTCAGAGGATTTGTTTCAGAATTTAATATAGATTTTAAATTTAGACGTGTTTACACCTTGCATATTATATAAAGAATATTAAAGTAGAGAATAAAACTGGCCACTGTTGAGTATTTTTTTTGTATTTTTGGGGGAAAATAATGTGTTAATTCAATCATATTGGAAGGTTTTTACTTGTGGAAATTCACCCCTCAAGTATTTAATTCAGGTATTAATTCAAACATTCACAAGGCCACCTGAAATCTGTCTTTTCTTATCCATTCAGACATGGACCTGTTTGCATTCTCCAGGCTGTTCTACTGTATAGGCAGTCAGTGTGATTCACTGGTTCACCTCAAATCTGTCTTTCTTAGTGGTCCCACAACCCCTAAGATCCGACCGGAACTTTCCATCACTCATTCAAGCTGTTTCCATTAGATAGAAAGCTTGTATGGAAATTCATGCTGAACATGCACTTGGCACACTTTTTAAAAATATTATTTTAGCAGTGCCTCCTTTTTGTTTTAATGTATTTTTATGTGTACTTTTCGTACATTAATGCTTTTGTCGTAAGACGAAGTTCTGTCGCCATATTGGACAAAGTTTTCTATTGTGTTTAAGATTTAGTAAAAGCGTTGATTGCTTTTTAACTTGATTTTGGTTATCGTTAACTCGTATAAAGATACATGTACTTATTTGAACAAATAGAATATTAAACAGCAACAAAAAATCAAACCAAAAACAAAATAACAGAATAAAGCTGTTTTGCACAACACAGCATAAAACATGAGCACTGAAATAAGCGTTTATATGGAAGAGGATTAGGGCCACTGAGAAAAAAAAACAAAAGTTAACTAATTTTTTCATTTTATTTCAGTTTAATATGGGGAAAAAAGTCAGAATTCTGACTTTTTTCCTCAGAATTCTGGGTCTTAATGTTACAGAAGACGATTAGGGACACTGAAAAAAGAAAAAAAGTTGACAGATTTTTTTTTTATTTTTTTTCAGTTTAATATGGGAAAAAAGTCAGAATTCTGACTTTAATCTTAGAATTCTGCATTTTTTGTCAGAATTCTGACTTTAATCTCAGAATTCTGACTTCTCAGGATTCTGGATCTTCATGTTACAGAAGAGGATTAGAGACACTGAAAAAAAGTTGACTGATTTTTTTTATTTCAGTTTAATATGGGGAAAAAGTCAGAATTTTGACTTTAATCTCGGAATTCTGGCTGTTTTTTCCTCAGAATTCTGACTTTAATCTAAGAATTCTGGCTTTTTTCTAAGAATTCTGACTTTGATCTAAGAATTCTGACTTCTCAGAATTCTGCATCTTAATGTTACAGAAGAGGATTAGGGACAGTGAAAAAAAGTTGACTGATTTTTTAAAAATTTTATTTCAGTTTAATATGGGAAAAAAGTCAGAATTTTGACTTTAATCTAAAAATTCTGACTGTTTTTTCCTCAGAATTCTGACTTTAATCTAAGAATTCTGACTTCTCAGAATTCTGCATCTTAATGTTACAGAAGAGGATTAGTGACACTGAAAAAAGGTTGACTGATTTTTTTTTAAAATTTTATTTCAGTTTAATATGGCAAAAAGTTAGAATTTTGACTTTAATCTAAGAATTCTGGCTTTTTTCTCAGAATTCTGGATCTTAACCTTACAGAAGAGGATTAGGGACAATGAAAAAAGTTGACTGATTTTTTTAAATTTTATTTCAGCTTAATATGGGAAAAAGGTCAGAATTGAAGAAATGACGCAATTAGGCAACTTTTTATGTGCACGATGGGTCCCCTGTGATACTATTTCATCAATGGAAAACCAGAAGGCGATTAAAAGAAGAGATAGTTTAGTTTCTAAAACAGATATGGACACGGCTTGATGCTAACATGTTTGTTAACTGTTAGAATTAAGTCAGAATTCTGAGATTAAACTCAGAATTCTGAGATTAACGTGAGAATTCTGACTTTTTTCTCATAATATACTGAAATAAAATTTAAAAATCAGTTAACTTTCTTTTTATTTTGTTCAGTGGCCCCAATCCTCCTCTGTATATATGTATATGTGTCTCTCTCTTTTTTTTTCTTAAAAAAGTGAGCTATTCCTTTGGTTGATCTACAATCCATAAACGTACTTCGGCTTCGTGGGGCGGCTGTGTCCAGAGGGAGGAGGGGCGTGTCGCGGTTCAGGGGCCGATTTGCCCAAAACTTGTGGAAAACTTTTTAGCATGAAGTAAACAGCCTGTGGATCATACTGGGGACCGCTACTGGAGCTGCTAACGGAGGCTAAACGGAACATGCACATTTTATC